CCCTTTACTTCGTCCAACAAACGTCAACGGCTGGGAAATCAACGCTACTGCATTATGGGTAACCTGGGATCCGATGCCAAACACAAGAGAGGCTATCAAAGGGGTTATTCAAGGCTATGAGGTGTGTAAAATAAGAATTGTTCTTTTTTATTCAAAGAATAAAAAGCATTGCATCATATCAGTCAAATTCTATCATTTTGGCTGTGGCGATATATAAATTCATTTTCAACTGGAAAATTTCACAAATTAAACGATTTTTATAGATTAATGTAGAAGATGCCAATAACCCTAACCGTAAGGGTGTTACCGCCTATCACTATGGGTATATGTCAGGAAATAATGTCATAGGACTGGAACCCAACACCGACTACTGGGTGACCGTACAAGTGTTTAACACGGCAGGAGAAAGTAATCCTAGCGAAAAACAGCTTCTGGGCACATGCTTAAACCGTAGGGATATGATGTTTTTTTAATTATACCTGATTTATGTTTAATAAAAATATTCAGCTGAGAAAAGTATAGTCAAGATTCATATTAAAATGTCCTTAAGAAATCCAATAAAGTACTTTAACTGACATCAGAATTGTGTATCATACAGATCTATTCCATGAATTTATTCATATTCATAAAACAAATTGCTCTTGCCAACTATCAGTATAGGAGCAAGGAAATCATTTAATATATAAACAGTAAGGTAACATAGAAAAATAATCGAGAATGCTTCCGCGTTTGTCTTACTTCTAGCGCCATTACTGTATCCCGAGTTTGTAGACATCCTGTCAGATGGACCTAACAGCGTGTATGTTAAATGGAGAGGCGTGTCCACAGGACTGTTTGAAGAAACTCTCAGAGGTTACAAGGTATATAAAAGGGAATGAATTGTCTGTGAGACTTTAAGGAATATTAGAAGAATTGCATTTTTATGCGTCGTTTGGTTTTCACTTGTTTCACTTCTAGATACGATGGTGGCTTCTTGGAGAAAATATCAAATCAGCTAATGATACTATTGTTGGTAAACAAACCCACGGGGTGGTGTATGGAATAGCCAAAGGATATGTCTATGCCCTCCGTGTACTTGGTTTTAGCAAGGGTGGAGACGGTAAAATGAGTCCCACACAGTATTTTACTTTAGGTAAACTTCAATCTCAAAATATGAGTGCATAAAATTATTTTTGGAAAAAAAGTTTTCTGTAATACCATTAATAATATCCGTATTAACTGTAATCATAATAATTTATTATTATACCCCCCGCTTGAAAAGCGGGAGGGTATATAGTAATCGTTAATTCCGTCCGTCCGTCTGTCTGTACGTCCGTCCGTCTGTTTGGGGTACCCATCCCTTATCCGCAACTCCTCTCATACCACTGAATGAAATTTGTTGAAACTTTCACAGAATCTTTATTACATATTGCCATTATGCACCTCCTATTTTACTTTTTGATCCGACACATATTTTGGGTTTTCCGGCCACAGCAAAACATGGACTTTGCCATTATAACTATATGGAGGCGGGGGGTATCATTTAGTGAGCTCATCGCTCACAGTACCTCTAGTTTATATTTATATTCTTTGTTTAAGTGTATATTTAATTAAAACGATTTTGCTCTGTCTTTGTAGGTGGTAGAGTGCACGTTGACTCGAGAATATCCGTTATAAAATTGGCGGGAACATCACTTAGCCCATCCCTAGTCATCCTCTGCTTTCTTTGTTTTGTTCAGTTTATCCTTTAATCATCTCACCAAAGATCCACGACAAATCCAAAGGATATAGAAATCCATATAATTATTCTATTTTCATTTTCGATGTATTTTACTTTTAAACATTGTAGATTCATACTAACTTTTATACAATTAGTTTTTTATGCATTTAGTATAGTGTTGTATTATTATACCCCCCGCTTGAAAAGCGGGAGGGTATATAGTAATCGTTAATTCCGTCCGTCCGTCTGTACGTCCGTCCGTCCGTCCGTCTGTCTGTCCGTCCGTCCGTCCGTCCGTCTGTTACGCTTTGGGGTACCCATCTCTTATCCGCAACTCCTCTCATACCACTGAATGAAAATTGATGAAACTTTCACAGAATCTTTATTACATATTGCCATTGTGCACCTCCTATTTTACTTTTTGATCCGACACATATTTTGGGTTTCCCGGCCACAGGAAATCATGGACTTTTTCACCAGTTATAACCATATTGGAGGCGGGGGGTATCATTTAGTGAGCTCATCGCTCACAGTACCTCTAGTTTTCTCACAGTAATTGTTTTTAATAGTCCCATGTTACTGTGCATTAAACAATAGAATATTAGATGTTAAAATGTTTCTTTATTGATGCATTTATTTGAAGTAACTAGTAACCGGGTGGGTTTACACCTGGTAGTTAAATTACTGCATGTGTACATAAATTGGTGTATTCATAATTAAGCACCATCACTCTGTATTGAGTTGGCGTATTCGTCAATTTGTGACACACACTTCCGCACTTTATATTGTATTTATATATGATTTCTTGGCGGTATTCATAAATTAGCGCATCAATGTCTGTGCCAAAGCCGCTAAAATATTAAGCCTGCATTTTTATGAATATATACAGTTCATTTACCGTGTAGAAATCTGTTGCTAGCCTTAAAAGATCTGGTGTCAATTTAACCATCATGCAGAAATGTTGATGCAGTTTCTTGTGAAGTGAAATAAAACTGTTGATGGATGCCTAAACATGCTCAGGAAATAATTTACTTGTTTTTGATATATAATTTAATTATCTAAGATTTTTGGATGGGGGTTTGACATTAATTAAAGAAACCATTATAGTCGGTATAAAAAGTGAATAGAATTCGGTTTCCCTGATTTTATTGATTATTTTTCAAACATGAAACGTTTCTTGTGTTTTTTGCGTTCGTTCTAATAAGCTTGTTTGGATCGCATCACAAGCTTTCCCAGTTCTTATAGACGGAAATATAAAGAACTCATCAGGTATAAAAAGTGAATAGAATTCGGTTTGCCTGATTTTCTTTATTATTTTTCAAACATGAAGCATGTATCGTGTTTCTCGTTTGTTGTAATAAGTTTGTTTGGGTCCCACGCTTTCTCAATTCTAACAGACGGCAATGTGAAGAACTCAACAGACTTAGACTTCGGTTCACTTGATACTAAACACGTCGATGTATTTCGACAGTTACTAAATCAAGAGACCTTGATCCGAATGACATTGGTGAAAAATGTCCACGCACTGATGAAAGACATGGTGTCCCTTCAACAAAGTCTCGTGTCTTCAGAAAGCGAGATATCTTCGCTGAAAGAAACAACCACCAGAGAAATATCCGAGTTGAAGAAAGAGGTGCGATCGCTTAAGCTGGAAAACAATCGATTAAGCAACAAAGTTACCAAATGTAATGAGAATATTGAGTCTTTAACAGAAAATTTAACAGTGGTGGACGCCAGTCGCCGAGTGTTCGAAACACAGCTGCTAAAGGAAAAACAGGTGTTTGAACAGAACACGTCCGGTATCTTAGCAGACATTAAAACTGAAGTTCGGTATTTGTCCATTACGCTTCTGGACCTCCACAAACACAGTCTGGAAATCGACAAGAATATTCCAGAACTCATTGACAACAGATACAAATTGATATCAGGGAGACTTAATGATTCTCTGGAGGCTTATAACACAGAACTGAGATCAGCCAATGATAAACTGAGTTTGGCTCTAACTGACCTTCAAAAAAATCAACAGACCATGATCGACAGATTCCTTATCTGGTTAGTACAATATAAAATCAAAGTACTGAAAGTACTGTTAGACGGAGGCTTCATGTATGAGAGAACACAAAAAAGAAATATACATTGCTGTTAAGAATATTATGAGGAATAATGTGTAGTTTTTTTTTCAATTCAACATTTTTTAAAAGGATACTCCAATATTCATGAGATTGTTGGGATATTATAATTTCATCTTCACCTTGATTAAAATTCACTGTTATTTAGATCAGATACTTTCAATATTAAACCTTTCAACGTAAGAAACAGTAATTGACTAGGCCTGGTTGACATAAAACTTAGACGGGCTAACTTTTTATCTCAGTCTCACTTAAGGAATATATAGTGAGACTGAGATCAAAAGTGAGCCTGTCTAAATTTTATGCCCCCAGGCCCGGTTTGATGAATGTAGGTCTAGTATGTTCTGGTCATGAGCCCACTGGCGGAATTAAAAGGGGCTCCAGGCCCCCTAGGCCTCCCTTTTGAGTCCAAAAATACACAATATTTGATAAATGAATGTTTTAATTGTGGCTCTGGGCCCCTTCCTTGACCTCAAACTGGTCCCCCTTTTTCAGAATTTCTGGATTCAGCACTAGGCCTCAGCCAGTCGGGAGTTTCCATATTTCAAGATATTTTATTTATAGGTCACAGAGACCTACTGTTAACATAATAACATGTGTGTATGACATGTAACAGCTACCAAAATCAAAATTTCTCGGCCTTATTGTAATAGTGTTTTGATATGAGCCAACATGGAAAAAGAAGCAGCCAGATAATTGGACATGAACAAAATAATACTTGTATAATATTGTACAGTTTGTCTTAAATCTTTGTGATACAAAATGGGGTGACCTAGCTTGAAAGCAACACAGAATTTTTTTTAAGTAATACAACTTCATTAACATGCAAAAAATGTTCGTGCAAGAACACAATTTTTTTAGTGGAATAAAATATTATACTTTCTTACTTTATGTAAACAGAACAATAAAATTCATAAGACTTGTTATTTCACAAGTTTAAATTGTCTTTGGAGAACTATAGTATCGCTTACAATAACAAAGAAATATCTTGACAAATTTGACAATCAATATTTCTGGAAGTATTAAATGTAGTATTTTATCATATGACAGATTTAACCCAAAAAATGTCTTTCTTTACTCATATACCAGTGGAAATGGTTGTCCTTTTCAGTTTATCTGTTTAAAACAATCATTAACAATGAGAAATGATTACAAATTACGTGGAGAAAAATTTATAAATATATAACTATGATTTCTGCTTTTCAGTAACTCTGTTAAAACAATCACTTTACCAATGATGTAGGGTAAAAAAAAATTGACATGAATACCAATGATAAGAAATACATGTAATCTTGTATATAAAACAAATAATTAAAGTTTGAGATGTGAAAGAGGTAAAACACAAGTATCAAATGCAAATAAGGATAAAAGATATGACAATAAGACAACTTATCAAATGCAAATAAGGATAAAAGATATAACAATAAGACAACTTATTTTCAGAAGATATAATTTTTAATTATTAATCAGGATACAATGTGATAAATCATATAAATCCTATGAACCAAGATTTAGGTTGTAACCAAGGGTCAAACGTTACAAATGCATATCGATCTCAATATCAGAGTTTGTTTCTCTCTTATCTAATGTGAGGGTACGCCAAACACTCAAACCGCTTGAAGAAAGTGTAAATTTATTTTAATGTGTTTCCTAAAATTATACATATCAAATAAACAATTCAAAACTAGACTGTAAATATTCCTACAGATAAAAATACTATGCATTTGTTTATTCATAGATCCTTGTCAGATTACAAAACTCACAAGAAACCTATTGACGCAAGCGTCAAAAATCGGCCGCAAACCAATTTATCGGTCCTTTCAAGAAGAAATTAGAAAAAGGAATGAAAAATGAGATTACAAACAGCAATCAAGCACAAAAAATTCCATTAAAACTGAAATGCTTGATCTATTATTAAAATATCTTATATTTATCCCTGCGACATAAAACATTTGCATGCGACATTGCAGGATTTTCTTCAATACATAATACAGGTACATTGCATAGTCATCTGCGTCTCCACACTTAGTTTGATACAAGCGAATTCTGGTGGAAATTTTTACAATTAAATATAAAACTTAAGTTTAAACTTATCTGTAATTAGAGATAGTTTTTACTTTAATAAAAGAAACAATTGATAAGTGGGGCTCCTCGAACACTCTCCGTGGATGTTACCCCCCCCCCCCCCCAAATTCCCTCTAGATCCGCCACTACATTTCTTCTCGTTCTTGTTTTGGTGTTAGAATCGGCGGGAAAAGGTTCGGCATATTGTAAAACGCGCTTTATCATAGTCTGTTGGAACAAATCTCCTAATATTCTGTCTGATAAAAAATTCATAGTAAATCACATCTTCTATACATATTCCGTAGGAAATGTATTTATATACACGTCATTTTAAATATATTCGACAAATCCTGTTTATTTAGAAAAAGTAGAACTGTTTGTTTATACTTGTATGTGACGCGATCTTTGTTTTAGACTATGCCTATCCTGGCGGCCCGTGTACCAGTGAAACTCTTGGGAATTCTATTTTTAGAGCGACTCTGGTAATGAAAACAATTCCACCGATAGATGGTGCTTGGTGAATCCACATTGTTTACATTCTTGGGCAAGACAATCCCTATACACGGAGGCTGTCATCCAGCCTCCGTCTTAAAATGCAAGTTTTGTTGTTAGCTTTTAAAAAGATGTCTAGTTAAATAACTCAAAAAATATTGAAATTTGTTAATTTTTTAGCTCTACTGGTCAGAGACCAGAAGAGCTTATGCGATAGTAATGCGTCCGGCGTCCGTCCGTCTGTCCGTCTGTCTGTCTGTCCGTCTGTCTGTAAACAATTTTTCTACATGCTACTCCTCCTACAGTTTTGGTCTAATTTCAGTATAACTTGGCACACAAGTAGACTACACTAAGATACATAATTCTGTATATCGGTTTTTGATTTCGATGAACGGTGTTGCCGTGGTTACTAAAAATAGAAATTTCTGTGAAATTCTTTCAAAATGCTACTCCTCCTACAGTTTTGGTCTGATTTCAGTATAACTTGGCAAACAAGTAGAATACACTAAGATACATAATTCTGTGTATCGGTTTTTGATTTCAATGAATGGTGTTGTGTTACTAAAAATAGAAATATCTGTAAAATTGTTTCAAAATGCTTATCCTCCTACAGTTTTGGTCTGATTTCAATATAACTTGGCACACAAGTAGACTACACTAAGATACATAATTCTGTGTACCGGTTTTTGATTTCGATGAACGGTGTTGCCGTGGTTACAAAAAATAGAAATATCTGTAAAATTGTTTCAAAATGCTACTCCTCCTACAGTTTTGGTCTGATTTCAGTATAACTTGGCACACAAGTAGAATACTCTAAGATACATAATTCTGTATATCGAATTTTAATTTTGATGAACGGTGTTGCTGTGGTTACTAAAAATAGAAATTTCTGTGAAATTCTTTCAAAATGCTACTCCTCCTACAGTGCTCTTCCTTTGCTATAAGTTCAAACCAGTAGAGCTTCAGTCTCGACAGAGACTTCTGGTTTTCTATTTATAATGATTAAAATTTTAGAGTACTTTTTAGCCCTGCTAGCCGAAATCTTTCCCTTACTTGTGGTTTTTAATCTAATTTTCCTTACATTTTGGACAAATGCTTGATATTTCAAAAGAAATTTTTAAAAATCGCCCTTACGGCATATGTCATGCAAAGACTTCTGTTTTTTCCTTGGAATATTACATCAACATGTTTTTTTTTCACTATCATAAACAACAAGCATTCTGAGAGTGTTGCCTTAGCAATACTAGTCCCCTATCAGCAAGCGTAACCTGGTTCCCATTTGAATTTGAAAATGCCTTGATTCCTGCAAATATCACTGAATCGGAACAAAATGCAAACTTGATCTTAAACTCATGAAGGTAGTGTCAAATACCAAAAGTTAGTTCAATATACCGGTATATAAGCGTTTGGAAAGAAATTGCGAATAACCCCTTTTCCGCTAGCTATTCAGGGTTTCTAATACGCTACTCATTAACCCTGGGCTTACGGTGTTAAAAAGCTGTTTTTTCTCAAGTTGTGATATGGGTGGATCACATCGTTCCTGTGATAGACAACCAAGTGAGACAGACTGACAGATAGACTGACGGACGGACGGACAGACATACTGACAGACGCTTATAAAAAAAAAACCTATAGTCCCCTCCGTTTTCATCAGTATATAGGGGAATATTTAAACGACGATAAAATCTTAATTTACTACATAACATAACAGAAGATTTAACATACGAAAACAGTGAGAAACTAGAGCAAAGCTCGTTGCAAAGCAACGAGAAGGTCTTCCGTCCTGTTTTGACTGGAAGTGACGTCATCAAAAAGAAAGCAATGAGCTTAGTCGTCTCCAGTCACTTTATAATTTCAATTTTGCATCAAAACCTTAAATAAGAAGCTATTTTTGGCTACTTCCGGTTTGACCGGAAGTGATGTCGATGGACAGAAAATTAAGTTTTGTGCTTCTTGTGATATATGTTACCCAAAAACTTGTCAAGAACAGCAAAAATATGCATTTTCTGACTACTTCCGGTTTGACCGGAAGTGACGTCGCCGGACGCATTTTGACGACTTCATTAGATTTAACTTGACATTTTGAACAACATTGCTTCTTGGGTGTATAACAAATTCTCAATACTTTTTGAGATATCTGGAAAAAACTTTTGGCCCCTCTAGATCCCTTAATTTAGGGGTCAGCCCTTTTTTCGAGATATCATTCAAAAGATCTTGTAATTCTGCACAAATTTTGTTCTATATGTTTTAACAAAATATTTTTAGTTTAGAAGATAAAAAGCAAAATATGTGTAAATTTTCGCTCTTTTTGGCGTTCTAATTTTTGACCCCTATATAGCACCATCTTGAATAGAGAAATCGAAAAACAAAAACCACTATGCACAACTTCAATCCTTCTATTATCTAAAATCAGTAGAATTTTTGCTCCAGCTTTAGCCGTCTCTGAGCCTTTGTCTGGAAACGAAAGCCTATAAATTTTCGTTTAAAGGGAAATAACTCAAAACCGGAAGTGACTTTTTGAAATTTTAGTCATCATTCTGATAGAATTTAGTGTCGTCTATCAACTCTGAAAATTTGAGCAAAATCCATCGAGAAATGAGTGAAATATGAGGCCTCAAAGTTGGCGTCTAGGAAAAGGAATAAAAAAGAATAATAAGAATAATCTTAATCATCAGAATCAGTAGAAGGTCTTCCGTTGGAAACGGAAGACCTTAATAATTAACATACCCCACCTTATCTTCGTTATTCTGTTTTTACAGATCATATGAACAACACAATGGAAGACTTACAATCGGAACTCAAACAGACTCGGTATGAACAATTAAAACTCTCGTCTTCTATGTCATCTCTTAGGTGTTCCGACTGAATTATACCAATAGGCAGTGTGGTATGTATTTAAAAACAGATAAATGATAATTTTTTTAGCATTGTACATTTTGTTTAAGTGGGGCTTCTGTATCATTTACGGCGTTATCTATAAAGGATGGGTATTCGCTTTAACAAAAGAATTGACCTATAGGAGAGAACAATTTCCCGGAAAAAGTGACATTTAAAATTCAATCTTTATTTGTTGTTTTCTACCGGATATATGTCTAAATTTTTTTAATTTGTTTTTTGTACCTAAAATTTATTATTTACAACTTTACACTTATCCTCCAAAGTTGATCGAAACACCATTTTGTCCTTTAAAGCGTTGATTTTTGCATGAATTTTGGCCTTAAAGTCCATCAGGGCAGGCCTGCCACTAAATAAAATAATGATATTTTGATAGGTTAGGATGTAAGGAATAATTTAAGATAAGATTTTTTTAGGGGCACCCCTGCCCTGGGGTCGAAATTCACAAAAAAACCTACAAAAAATAAGGAAACCAGATTTTCAACATCTTCTCAAAATTTATGTCATGTATTCTTATAGTCAGACTAGCTCAATTGATATATGCGCTGACTTTTACACCTTGGATACTCTCTTTTTAAAGTCGGGGGTTCGAATCCACCAGGTACAACACTTATAAAGTTTTAAATTTCGCCTTTTCAAAGACTATTTTAATTTTTTTTATAGACTTGTGTATTTTTCCTTCAATTGTTTATCCCTTATGCATTCCCATTCTTGATATAAGAAACACTAAAGAGATATCAAATCGTAACAATCCAATGTACAATTGTCAGTCAGGTGGAACGAACCTCAGTATAAGCACACTTTCTCCGAGGACAAGAATAACTCACTATGTGTTACTCAATACAGGTATTCCTGGCAGCATTGAGCTGCGATGAATTTCAATTGTATATATCCCTTAGAATTTAATCACATTGATTTTGGCTTCATATTTCAGTAAATGCACTCACTTGGATTTCATGTAGGCCTTTATAATTTGCACACATTAAAGACAAGTTTTTTTTATTATATCCACGGATAAATAGCCTAGACATTAAGAATAGAATTTCAGAGGCAGTAGACATTACCTTTATGCACAATGAGAAGTAAAGACAAGTATCAATTATTACATTTGGAGATAACAAACTCAGAAAATCAATAAAAAGGGTTCCTCCTATCTCTACTCACTGAAATAAAGATTTAGGAAAAACAAATTGTTATATGTATTCAGCCTAATGTCATTAATCAGAACGGAAATCGACAAGCTTTTTGTAGAGAATAAAACCAAGCCCGGTCCTATAGGTCAGATCCCTACTTATAATGAAGTGATCCTTCTCACTTCTCTATGCTGAAAAATCATTTAAAATTGTAGTCACTAAATAGCAAAATTGATCCCAACTTGGAATTAACATTTATTTTATTGATAATTACCCTACACCTTTCTATAGTTTACTAAATACTATTATTCATACACAATTGATGTTTGTGGAATTACGATTTAGTTTTTGTTTGTTATCCCTAACTTTTTGAACTTTGAATTCACTCTTAAATACCAATAATTTAATTAAAAATTAATTAATATTTATAGTTTGATTTAGTAGTAATTTAATACTAAATTAAATTAAATAAATACTCAAATCAATTGAAAGTAAAGTGAAATATTTCTATTGTGTTTTTTAGGTGTGTCAACAAAAGTAGCCTTCACCGCGGGTATAACGTCACAGGACACTTCATGGAGCGGAAGTACACTGGTTTTCCCCAAGATAATATTTAATACAGGTGGAGGTTACAATCCCACTACAGGGATGTTCACGGCCCCCGTGGACGGGCACTACGTCTTCTTTGTCTGTGTACAGAGTTATAATACAAATGAAATTTGGGTGGACATTGTATTGAATGGAGAATCTCAGGTCAGAACAATGGCGCACGACAAGCATGATAAGGATTATTTCGAGACAGGGGTTAACCTGGTTGTGTTAAGGCTAAATCAGGGAGACAAGGTGTGGGTCAAACGTAGTCGAGGCACAGGATACTATTCCGACTCTGTACCTATCACAACCTTCTCTGGATTCCTTTTGTAAAAAAAAAAAATGATTACCGTAAGGAAAGGATGAGGACAATGTGTCTATTGGTATAGTTATCAGATACTCACAAATTTATAAAAAGTCGATTTTTAATGTAATAGATTCCCCGAAAATATTCCGAGACATGCAGTTGGTTTCAGTCGAGTTTAATGATATGCATGTGTTTGAAAGAGGATCCAAAATAAATGAACTACTAGTATTTAATATTGCTTCCTACAAAAATTAGTTAATTATGATTTATTTGTCTCGTCTTGTATTTTAACTTTTTATATTTGTATAATCATGGGTCTTCTGATTTTATCAACTTTGTGAATTTAAGTGCACATTCAACTGCGATAGCAAGAACTTGGAATAAATTTGCATGTTCCCCGAACGTTTCGTTTCGTTATCAATCTTAACTATATGTATGCATCCCATTGTACGAGGTTGTACGAGTTATCGTCCTCGCACATAATGAGAAAGAATTTGCAAGAATAAATATTTAAACATCTTGCTTAAAATTCCAACTATCTTGGAAAGATTGGCTGACATAAAAGCAACCAAAAAAAAATTTCTCATTACAATTATGAAGCGAAATCCTGTGAGATTTCAGAACCTATAATTCATACTTTATAAGAAATATAAAGAAATAGTGCAAGAAATGTTAAAATTATTCGAATTTGAAATACAATAATTCACATTAATTTGGCAAATTTTTATAAGAATGAAAGATTTTAGTCTATATATAGAAGTCAATTATTCAATAATGATTTTAACAGTCATTTATTTGTACTACATGTAGAATTTGTACATGTACGAAAGATACAAATAGAAAATCGCCGTACATAAGCGAAAGCTAATTACTATAATAATTGTTGTGCATATTAAATGTTCACGTACTTAGCCAGAAGGCTGAAAATTTCAATATAAGATGTAAAGTGCCTATATTATCATTACCGGCCGCCAGGAGACGGTCGGTTATATGATATGAAAGTTTGAAGTCGCTGCGCGTTTCTGCGGAGTTAAAACAATTTAAATAAAAATATTTAACATTAATATAATAGTATATTAAAAAGAGTGTCTAAATGTTTGACAAGAACGCACAATAAACATAAAATTAATTTTTTAATAAAGAATGACTGAGCCAGTGAGGTAAATATCTCATCCAATCCTAATATTGAGAAACTTAGACATGTTTGAGCAATATCCTATGCAGAGTTGTCGTTCGTTCCTCTCTCAGACACCTCTGCAATGGGCTCACGTCAAGATTTTTGACATTCTAACGTATAAAACGTGAAATTTGAAGGATTGTTTCAATTTAAATTAATAGTTTTGTATTGATTTAGTAAATTATCTATCTCAAAACTCAGACATAATCATAGAAATTGAATTATAATGAATTAAAACAAACGCACTATTTCTCGTGTTTACACTGTGTATACGCGAGCCAACGACAGAGGTATATACACGTATAAGCCGATGTTTGAGGTGCGGAGAAAATTAGGACATGTGTTGAGCATAGTCTAAAGCAAAGACCCCGTTATGTATATTGCACAATTTTACTTTTTCTTTTTAAACAGGATTTGTCGTACCTATTTATTTTAAAATGACGTGTATACATGTACATATATAAAAAATTTCAAAAATATGGTTAAATGTTAATTCATCAAAAGACTTAGCAGGCTACAGAATATTACAAGATTTGGCCCTTAGCCGACGAGGATAATGCACGTTTTACAATGTGCCAAGAATTTTCCCGCTACAACTCAAAGAAACTGAAAGAGAAGAAATGTAGTGGCGGATCTAGAGGGAGTTTAGTTTTTTCCTCCAAGTCCAAGAGAGAGCAAGGGGCCCCACATATTTGTTGCGTTTCTATTAAATTAAACATTTATAATGTCAGGTGGCAGCTGCAGCTATCATTAACGACTACATAACAAATTAAACAAGAAACATATATTGACGCAAGCGTCAAAAATCGGCCGCAAACCTATTAATTGTTCCTTTCATGAAGAAACTAAAGATCTGTTTTAAAATAATTATATCTTATATTTAACTGTTAATATATATAAATTATCCTCGTGACATTAAACGCTTGTGCACGACATTGCATGATTTTCTTAATTATATAATGCATGTTCAGTATTACATGTATACAGAAGCAAAGTACCCCTGGTCCTCAACAAACCGTGGGCTTGTATAATTAAGAGGCATTTACATTAAAAGTTTAAAACTAAAGTTTTATGTAATCTACAGCTAGATATGCAGTGTAGTTATAAATTTCCTTTTTTTCAGTACATGCTACAATTAAATCAGACATGGATGTAAAAATTAGCTATAAGATATTGATTTGGATTGTTGCTGTCCAGCTTCTATTTCAACTTCACGTATGTGTGTTACTTCATCATTCAATCTGTTCATTAAAGTTTCATTGAATCTTTTTTTTTATTTAAAAAAAACCTTCAAAAATGATATGATTCGCAAATACTTCATAATCCTTGCGTATGTGTTTGTCTAGCATGCTTTAATTTTGTCATACTTGAAAGTATGTATGGTGGAAGGAATTTTTATCCAAATGAAAGACCTGTGCAGTGGTCCTAGATAGGAGAGAGCATGTGGATAGGAATCTGTAAGCTTGTCTTACACAATTAGGAAAGGTTTAAACAATAAATATTATTTCCCAGTGCGGAGGGGTGTTTATGAAAAGCAAATTATTTTATTTACAATACATGAAAAATTATGAGAGCCTGCAGTTATGAAATAGTAGGAATTAAATTTTATGTGCAGGGATGAGAAATGGTACTTTCCCACACAAAGTCAATTGACATCTTCTTTAAAGAAAAATGTTAAAGACGGATAACTAGTATACAATTCAGAAAATGGTGTCTGGTAAAAATAAATAATACGCTGTAAACCTCAAAGATGAGAAGTTTTGTAATCTACCTTATGATGTGAAACGGTGTGTTCAATCTTAATAGCGATGACCTTAAAAACACGACAACCGTTGTCTATCCCTCAGAGAGAAGTAAGTCCTCCATGTTTACTAATTATTAAGTTGTGTGTTATTTTAGTTGACATTGCCATCTTGTCGCTCCGGAACATAGTGTTTGAGGACTTTTTGCATTGTGAAAATAAATTACGAACAATGATCAATCTAATAAACTGAATGAACAAAACGAATCGTGAACAAGGTAAAAACAATTGCCCTCTGGGAAAGCAGATGTGGGATCAGGAGCCAAGGAAGAGTAAGCATTCCCTGTTCACTAGGCCTAGTAATTATTGAAGTCAATTTTAGATTATTGCTGCATAGTGACCTGTTATACTTAATGAATATTTTGATTCGTTAAATATTCTTTTTTAGACTTGCATCCCAGATTTTGAATATTGTTGTGCACAGTAGTTTTCTTATTAACATAGATCAATGTCAAATGAATGTTGGTTTTTGAATGAATATAAGGTATTAGTTGATTCTTTCCTTTTTATTTTAAATGAAATAAGAAATCTAAGATTTTGAAAACTGCACTGTATGCAATAAACTGAAATATATCGTATTTTCAGCTGTCTCTGGATAAAGCTTTTTATAAATTATGTGGTATATGGAGATACTTTAAAGTTAAGAGATCCCGTTGACTTCATCAAACAGACTTCAAATGGAAATTAACAGTAGACATTTTAACCTCCTACTTGCGCATTTTACATCTCATAGATAAATTTTTGGTTATTTGAATTATCTCCTCTGGAAAGTTACAAAACACTGATGTACTTGTCAACACTTTTAAATAAAAAAAATCGTCAATTTTACAGTCCCCTTCCTTCGTCCAACAATGTCATCGGCTGAGAATAACGCTGCTGCATTATGGGTAACCTGGGATCCAATGTCAAATACAAGAGAGGCTATCAAAGGAGTTTTTCAAGGTTTTGAGGTCCGTTAAATAAAATTTATCCTGTTTCTCTTAATCAAAAGGATAACAAGCTTTGCGCATTAAGTTAAATTCTTTCATTTTGGGCACTCGCAATTTATAAATTCATTTTACGTCAATCTTTTTTTTTTTCATTTTACAAAAACGGATATTTCAGATTAATGTATCAGGTGCCAAGGACCCTAACCGTAAGGGGATATGATTTTTAGTATGTGCTTTATATATTCTCATTCAGTCATGAAAAAGGAGGGTATTGTCAAAGTATATCGTAAAATGTTGTTTGTATTACTTCCAGCGCCATTACTGTATCCCGAGGTTGTTGACATCCTGTCAGATGAGCCTAACAGAGTGTATGTCAAATGGAGAGGCGTGTCCGCGTGACTGTTTGAGTTACAAGGTAAGTAAAGGGGAAGATATTGTGAAATAGACCTTAAGGAATATTAGAAGAATTCTTTTTTTATGCGTTTTTTCGTTTTGCACTAGTTTCACTTCTATATGCGATGGTGGCTTCTTGGGAAAAAAATATCAAATCAGCTAATGATTATTCCATTGTTGGTAAACACACCCACGGGGTGTAATAGCCAAAGGTTATGTCTATGCCCTCTGTGTACTTGGTTTTAGCAAGGGAGGAAACGGTAAAATGAGTCTCACACAGTATTTTACTTTAGGTGAATTTCAATATTTAAATTCTAGTACATAAAATTATATTGGAGAAAGTTTTTTTGATTACCATTAACATCCATATTGTAATGACTAGATGCTATGGCGTAAAAGAAGTCGAACATGAGTTATCGTTCATATATCGAGTTATCGTTCATAAGATGCGTAATACGTCATCACTAGAGACCTATTCACTCGTACATGGAATATTCCACATGTGTTAAGATAAACAGAAATAAAATAAATATTCTTTAATCATATTTATTCGATTAGTAGTTTATATTTATTTCATATGTAATTTACAATGGGGTTATTATATATAAATCCCTATGCCGAAAATTGGAAATGTCAGTATATATAAACAATTTATCAATATAAATTAATCATCAAACATGGATTAATTATAGATAATCGTGGATTGATTTTAATGAAAAATAAAAG